TGATAAAACTGAATAGTATTTTTGTATCTGTCTGCTATACTCTTTTTATAACATGTTAATGACGTTCATCTTGTCTGTCTGTAGCATTTTTAATGTGCCCATCACCAAGGTATCTGCCTGTCTCTTTTGCAAAATAAATGCCTCTGAAGAGGAGATAGGAATGGTAATACATGTATAATTTTTTAAAGTTATTACTGAAAAATAGTACCTTTGTTTCCTCGTATTCCTCCCCCTCCCTCCTATATTTATTTTTCCCTAGTGACAAAATCTGCAGCAGAAAGCACCAAGCAACAAGTTTATCAATTTGAGCAGGCCAACTGCGCAACTAAATGTATGTGAAACTTAACAAATCCCTTGGGGAAGCTGACTGTAAGAATTTCCTAGTCTGTGTCGAGTTACTGAGGTGCGACATGTTGGATTGAACTTAATGCCTTAGGCAAGCACAGTCAAATAGAGAGAGTTTAAGATTTTGCTGTGTCCATGAAGGGATCTGCTGGTAGTTGTCTAAATTAAGCTTTCAGAACAGAATATAACACTATCATGAGCTCTTTCCCTTGAATATTTTGGCAGGTTATTCTGGTTTATAAGAAATCCAAGTAGGATTTCCTTTGTGTAAGCCTCATGACAGATGCAAAAATATTGAAGGTTTATTCCTCTTACTAGAAACAGCAAAATGCTGGAACAGAGATTTTCCATTGTGCTATGCTTTTTTTCTTTCTTTTTTTAAAGTTGTAGCATGCAAGCCAAACCAAGGATCTGCCCCTTACATGGGAGCTGGCTACTGTGATGTGGTAACTGCTGCTTAGAATGTAGGCACTGCACACCTGCTGTGGTTTTTTTCACCACATCCTTTATTCTTGCTTGAGTTTTGTTGGGGGGAAAACTGATCCTGGTGGTCTGGCCTTAGTGACCTCTCTGACTCTGTAGAAGCACTGAAGAAGTCAGCAGCTTCTGAAAGAGTCATGCTACAGGGGCTAAATGAGGTCTTCCCGTGGTTATGTAGATGTGAGAAGGCTGAGGGTCACCATGAAGTGAGGGAGAAGAGTAGCTGAAGTTGTTGCTATGTCTAGGACCTGGATAGAGGGGCTGGCTTTGAGCTGCTGTAGCTCACAGCCCACAGGAGTGACAAAGCAGAGGGGTTCCTCTTCAGCTCATCAGAAAAGGCTGAAATCTTAGATTTCTTTGTGTGTGCTGGTCTTGTTCTCTGCCCTTGTTCTCCAACTATTTTGTTGTCCTTTTAAATTAGGTGGGTAATTATTTGTTGTCCGATAGAATTTGGGAAGGATAATTAATCATGTACCTGTTACTTGGGTTATTTGAAGGCAGTGTGGGGCTGAGGCATTACTGTATACTTATCAGCTCTGTTTTTGTTTTAGATATCAATAATCCTTTAGCTCTTCGCAGTGCCAGTACTGATTTTGATTTCAGCTGTAGAATGGGTCTATGCCCTTTGCTCATTTGTTAACCCATTAGCTCTAGCAACTAGCTAGTCAAATATCATGGGACAGGAGAATGATGCTGATCTCTCCAGTGGGGTCATATGTTTACACTGAACCATTATTGTGTTTTTTTTTTTTTTTTTTAGTTAAATGAAAAGAATTGTATTAAAAGTGTATTTTTCATGCTGTCCTGGAAAGCTGTTAGTCAGGTGTTTCTGAAAGACACTCATAGTACCTCAGAGTTCCTTGTTCCAGGGATGAATCACTGCTTCAAAAAATGCAAGAACAGGGATTTAGGAATATGAGCAAGTGTATTTAATCTGTCTTCTTCTGCTTAGAGCAGACAGTAGTTTGTCAGTACAGTGACCATTCCCTAGAGCTAATTACTGTAATTCATTAGCAAAGCCTCACTTCCTGGCTGATTCGAGTTGATTAGTGGACACTTTGTTCTATCACTTTTTTTGACTGAGTGTTCAGTTAGATATCAGACTCCAAACATGTAATAGATTTACATGTAGCACTTACACAGCAGGGAGAAATAATTTAAATCTAATGCAACCTGATGCTTTTCATGTAGCCTTTGGGACTTTGTGCAAGGATAATGGGAGCTTTTTAACTCCAAACAGAGAAACTCTCTTCCCTTTCTCGCAGGAGCTTTCCCTCTGAGCTCTGGGACCCTGCCTTGTGAGCTGATTATGGCTGATATCATTTGGAGAACATAACATAATTTATTTCTGTATATAAAACTAATGACATTCTGTATATACTAATAACTAATAACATTGTAGAGGGTTGTAGATCTTCCTGTAGGAGAACAGGAGCTGTTTAAGTTGACTGTGGGACTGACAACTATATGTTGACATGAGCCATTGTTTTTCAGATAAAGAAAAAAGTCACTTGTCTTTTACCACTGTGTGATTTGAGGATAAGCAGTTTTTATTTGCTTATGTATTTTAGTAGACCATGAACCTGTAAGTCCAGAGGCTATGAGAAAATTGCAGTTACATCAAAGAATGTACAAGTTGCAGTGAATTCAATATACGTGCAGACTTTTATCATGGTTTAATGACTCTTCTCTCACCTGTAGACTTCAGGTTTGCCAGTCCATTTTTTCTGTGTTCAGACAAGCATTACTCAGTTTGCCTGTCTATGGACAAATAAAGCCCATGATATATAGCACTATTTTAATATCTTGTTCAAGTTAATATGGATTACAGTCAAGATCTGCTCTTCCTCATATTGTTGTCTGAGGACATAACACTTTGAATTTTTTTGTTCTGTAACTTAGTTATAGAACTAGTTAAAATATAGAGTAAGAGGTATGTTTTTGAAGACAGGCTTAACAAAAACATTCCTTTTCCATTCCACAGCAATACTTTGAGGAAGACATTAACAGAACTGGTTTTAAATATTGAACAAAGAATAGGATGCTTTGGTATAGGGAAGGAATTCTTCACAAAAGAATCATAGAATCACCAAGTTTGGAAAAGGCCTCTGAGATATCCAGTTCAACTGTCCACTTATCATCAATATTTTCTACAAAACCATGTCACTCAGTGTGATGTATAAATGTTTCTTGAACACCTCCAGGGATGGTGACTCCACCTCCCTGGGCAGCCTGTTCCAGTACCTGATCACTTTTCTGGAGAAGAAATTTTTCCTATGGTCCAACCTGAATCTCCCCTACCTCAACTTGAGGCCATTCCCTCTAGTCCTATTCCTGGTTCCAAGGCAAAAGAGACTGACCTCCAGTCTCCAAACTGACAAACTGACCTCCCTTCAGATAGTTGTAGAGTGCAATAAGGCTTCCCCTGAGCCTCCTCTTCTCTAGACTAAATGATCTCAGCACCCTCAGCTGCTCCTCATGAGGCATGTGCTCCAGATACCTCACCAGCTTCTTTGCCCTTCTCTGGACATGCTCCAGAGTCTCTATGTCTTTGTTGCAGGGAAGGGCCCAAAACTGAATTCAGTGCTCAAAGTGCAGTTCCATCGGTGTTGAGTACAGAGGGATGACCCTGCTACTGCTGCCTACGCTATTTCTAATACACGCCAGGACGCCGTTGGCCTTATTGGCCACCTAGGCATATTACTGGGTCATGTTCAGCTGAACATCAACCAATGCCCCAAGGTCAGTTTCCTCTACACAGTCTTCCAGATGCTCTGCTCCAAGCCTGTAGTTTGGGGGTTGGACTGTTTCCTTGGTGTCCAGTCTATATGGTGCTTTGCCTTGGGCTTTCATTATTTACTACCTCAAGGATGATTGACTGTCAGATAACATTGTACTGTGAGTTACTGTATTCCAATAAAGCCTTGGCCTTTAATCTGGTTGCCAGATATCTGTTTTGTCTTGTAGTCCTGAGTAGCATCTGCAAAGTAACAAACATTTTAAAGATTTATTTTCTTCTGGCATATAAGAACATTGTTCCCACTCAGTGTTTTTTCCCCCAAACAAATATGCTTCTTCAAATACTTTTTTTTTTTTTTTTTTGTATATATTATAAATTGCTGACTAGACTGACACAATTTAAGAGTTTTCTGACTAAAAAGAGAGGCTTTGCAATTTTGTTGAAAGAAGTTGACAGTGTTTTTTCTCTTCAAAGTAGATTTTGTTAGAAGAAGCTGACCAAAGTCTTTGGAAAAGCAAGTATTTCAGGACATTTTAACTAGGACATTAATTGTTCTAGGCTTTGAAGCTTTGTTTCTAGCAACAAAAGTAATTCTATAATGCAACAATATTCATATTTAGCTACAACTAAAGTTCTATGGGAAGCTGAGTAAAATATTTATCAGGGAGTATAGCAGTAGGACAAGGGGCAGTGGTTTCAATCTAAAAGAGGGTAGATTTAGATTAGATATTAAAAAGAAATTCTTTTCTGTGAAGGTAGCAAGGCACTGTTGCAGGGGAACAGGCTGCTCAGAGAAGCTGTGGATGTCCCACCCTGGTCTTGAACACTTCAGGAATGGATGAGACTTTGAGCAAGCAGATCTAGTAGAAGGTGCCCATGGCAGGGGGTTGGAACTAAGTTGTCTTTGACCTCCCTCCCTAACCATTGAATTGAATACAAAGATGGAAGGGCTTGGAGATTAGAAGGGCTTGGCTCTGCCTTTCATCCACTGGTTAGTACATTTGGCCATCTTCTCAGTGATAAAGATGATGCTATACCCTGGACAGCTGGTATAACTACAGCTGTGGGAGGCATTGCTTCCAGATATTTGCAGTGTATCCTACCATTCTTTGTGGTATCCTGTATCTGTGCCATTATCAATTCTATTCTCTTAAAACTGACTGGACTTCTAATTTGTGAATATTAATAGTACTGGTAAATAGAAACTTCTGCTAAACTTAAGTGGTTCAAAAATTTGTGTAGCAGTGTTCTCTGTCTAACCTGGTGAGCAACTGAAATGCGCCTCTATTATTATGTTCCAGGTAATAGCATTGCTGCTGGTGGGGAGTAAGTACTAAATTATGATATAGTAATTTTCACTATGAAATATCTGTTTTTTCCAAGCACATTAGGTATTCAAAAGTTTAAATTGAATAACTTATGTAAATTCTTACAGATTTGGGATGTGCTATTTCTGAGAGTAGTGAAGGTGTAAAATATGAGCTTTTTCAATTGTGGGCTTATGGTGGTTTTGAGTTCCTGATTGAACTGATGCAACTTTTAAAATTAGATATTCCAAATGAGAGTGATCACAAACTCTGTGGTAAGCTAAGCACTTCCATTCTTCACTACACAAGTCTGTCAGGAAACCAGTTTGCCAACACTAGAAAATAACCACAAAATATCATGTGAATATTATAGAAATTAAGTTTCTGGAGCACTGAAGTAAATGTTTCTCAAACGTTTTCTGCAGGCTGGGAGCAGAAATACATGCAAATAAATGGCTGGATGTGAAGAAATATAGTTTGGATGAGAATAACTAATTTTGAGCATTTTCTCAAATACGCTAAATTTCCAAGAATTTCTGCCCCTCTCTTGTCCTCCTTCCTTCCAAGTGAAATGCTTTATAAATTCATTATTTCCCCTCAATAATAACATAAACATCCACTGACACTGATGGGAATTAAACTGTACCTACTATTAGGGAAGTATCACCTCTTCTAGGGTCAAATTAGCTACATTAACATAAAACCATGGTTCCTAATTAAAAACAAACAAACAAACCACTACTGAAATTCAGCGTACTGTGTATACTGTGTAGCCTTACAACTCACTCTTCCAGTTGCTTGGCCTTATTAACCTCTCTGTGGCATTTTCAAGGCCTCCAATTGGCTAGTTTTCAGATGTTGTTTTTAATTAATTTTGTGGTGTTCCTGGTTATCAGATAGGAGTTTGTACTGCTTTCAGAAGATATAATGTATCCCATTATTAAAGACAGCAGGTTTCAAGAAAGCACACTTCAGTGAACTCAGAGTCGGTATGCAGCTTTCAGCAGGAAGCAGATAGGTGCTGAACAGACATGAAAATAGCTGGCAGTTCTTTACAAAAACATTAACGAGGGGTTAAGCACTAACTTTGTTAGTACAAAGAATGAAATCTTAACACGGGTCTGGTTTGACTAAGTGTGACCTAAAACTTAAATGATGTTGCCAAACACTGAAATTGAGTTAGATTGTTATGGATGAGTACAGAAGAATGGTATGGAAAAACAGAGAGAAATTTTGAGAAAGGAACTTGGGTGCGCAGTGAAAGGTATCAATAACGTGGAGTAGTCAGTGTACAGTCAGTGTAACGTCTGGTTCTGTAGTTTAGACCTACTCTTTTTTATTTTTTTTTCCTTCCTACACTCTGTAGGTAGAAGAGAAACAAGGTATGTGGTATGTCATGATTTTAATAAATGTGTTTTAGTAAAAAACCTAGCTTTTGGTAAATATATTTTTTACATCAGATGTTCAGTGATGACATGTCTGAGATGAAATTACCACAAAGTGGATGGGGATGATGATGACTGAAAGATTTCATAATCATATGGAAAACCTAGAATCTGAAGATAAGTGCCAAACTTATGTGCTACAGTGAGTAACATAAGTGCAGTTTCATGTAGAAGAAGCTGGTGGGATGTCATCAGGATCTAGTGTTTGGCAACAGTGCCTGTGGCAGGTGGGATTGGACTTTGATCTTTGAGTTTCATTCTGACCAAAGACATTCTGTGACCTGTCTTCAGCCCAAAGCATTATTTTATTTTATTTTATTTTATTTTATTTTATTTTATTTTATTTTATTTTTAATTTTAATTTTAATTTTAATTTAATTTTTAATTTTAATTTAATTTTTAATTTTA